AAACCCAAACCCAGCAGAAGAAAAGAAATAACAAAGATCAGAGCAGAACTAAATGAAAATGGAACAAACAAAAAAAAGCAATATACAAGATAAATGAAGCATAAAGCTTGTTCTTTGAAAAGATAAAATTGATAGTTAATTAGTGAGATAAACTAAGAAAAGAAGAGAGAAGAGCCAAATAAGCTCAATTTGAAACAAAAAGGGAGATATTACAACTGCTAACACAGAAATACAAAAGGTCATTCAAGGCTACTAAGGACACCTTCATGGGCACAAACTAGAAAACTTAGAGGAGATGGATAAATTCCTGGAAATATACAAACTTCCTAGATTAAACCAGGAAGAAGTGGGAACTCTGAACAGACCAATAACCAGAAGAAAGATTAAAATGATATTAAAAAATTACCAGCTATAAAAGTCCAGGACCAGACAGATTCACAGCTGAATTCTATCAAACATTCAAAGAAGAATTGCTACCACTCCCACTGAAACTATTCCAATAGATAGAGAAAGAGAGAATCCTTTGTAAATTATCCTATGAAGCCAATATTGCCCTAATATCAAAAAATAATAATAATAACATAGCTAAAAAAGAAAATCACAGACCAGTATTCCTGATGAATATAGATGCAAAAAATCCTCAACAAATACTAGCTAACCAAATTCAACAGCAGATCAAAAAGATAATCCATTATCATCAAGTGGATTTCATACCATGGATTTAGGATTCACTTAATATAGGCAAGTCAATAAATGTGATATACCACATAAATACAAGTAAAAATAAAAATCACCTGATCACCTCAATAGATGCAGAAAAAGCATTTGACAAAATACAGCATCGCTTTATGATTAAAATCCTCAACAAAATCAGCATAGAAGGGACATATGTTAAGGTAATAAAAGTTGTCAATGACAAACCCACAGCCAAATTGTACCAAATAGGGAAAAGTTGAAAGCATTGCTCCTGAGAACAAATCAAAGATGCCCACTTTCACCACTTCTATTCAACACAGTACTTGAAGTCCTAGCCAGAGTGATCAGACAAGAGAAAGAAATAAAGGGTATCCAAATGAATAAAGAGGAACTCAAACTGTTGCTGTTTTCTGATAATGTGATAGTATGCCTAGAAAACCCTAAAGACTCTTCCAGAAATCTCCTAGATCTTATCAGTGAATTGAGTAATGTCACAGGTTACAAAATTAATGTATACAAATCAGTAGCACTGCTATACACCAACAGCAGCCAAGCTGAGAATCAAATCAAGAACTCCACCACTTTTACTATAGCGGAAAAATTTAAAAAAAAAAAAAAAACACTTAGAAATATACCTAACCAAGGACGTGAAAGAACTCTACAAGGAAAACTACAAAACACTGCAGAAAGAAATAATAGACGACACAAACTAATGGAAACACATCCCATGCCCATGAATGGGCAGAATCAATATTGTGAAAATGGCCATCCTGCTGAAAGCAGTCTACAAATTCAATGCAATTCCCATCAAAATACCATCATCATTTTGACAGAACTAGAAAAACCAATTCTGAAATTCATGTGAAACCAAAAAAGAGCCCATATTACCCAAAGCAAGAGTAAGCAAAAAGAACAAATCTGGAGACATCACATTATCTGACTTCAAATTATTCTACAAGGCTATTGTCACCAAAGCAGCATGGTACAGGTATAAAAATAGGCACATAGACCAATGGAACAGAATAGCAAACCCAGAAATAAGCCCAAATACTTACAGCCAACTGATTTTTGACAAAGCAAACAAAAACATAAAGTGAGGAAAGGACACCCTATTCAACAAGTGGTGCTGGGATAATTGACAAGCCACAGGTAGAAGAATGAAACTATATCCTCATTTCTCACTGTATATCAAAATCAACTGAACTCAAGTTGGATCAAAGACGACCTGAAATCATAAACATTCTAGAAGATAACATTGGAAAAATTTTGCTAGATATTGGCTTATGCAAAGAGTTCATGACCAAGATCCTAAAGGAAAATTCAACACAAACAAAAATAAATAGATGAGACTTAATTAAACTAAAAAGCTTCTGCATAGGAAAAAAATAATCAGCAGAGTAAACAACCCAAAGACTGAGAAAAAATATTCACAAACTATGTATGTGACAAAGGACTAATATCCAGAATCTACAAGGAACCCAAACAAATCAGCAAGAAAAAAAAGCAAACAATCCCATCAAAAAGTGGGTTAAGGACCTCAATAAACAATTCTCAAAAGAAGATATACAAATGGCCAACAAATGTGAAAAAATGCTCAACATCACTAATTTTCAGGGAAATGCAAGTCAAAATGACAATGCAATACCACCTTATTCCTGCAAGAATGGCCATAATTTAAAAATCAAAGCATAATAAACATTGGTTTGGATGTGATGAAAAGGGAACACTTTTACACCCCTGGTGGGAATATAAACTAGTACAACCACTATGGAAAACAGTATAAAGATTCCTTAAAGGACTAAAAGTAGATCTACCATTTGATCCAGCAATCCCACTCCTGGGTATTTACCCAGAGGAAAAGAAGTCGCTATATGAAAAAGACACTTGCACAGGCATGTTCATCACAACACAGTTTGCAATTACAAAAATATGGAACCAGACCAAATGTCCATCAATTGAATGGATAAAAAATGCGATACACACACACACACACACACACACACACACACACACACACACATATATATATATATATATATATACCGTGGAATACTACTCAGCCATAAAAATGGAGCAAAATCATGGCATTCTCAGTAACCCAGATGGAGTTGGAGACCATTATTCTATGTAAAGTAACTCAGGAGTGGAAAAGCTAACATCATATGTTTTCACTGATGAGTGAGAGCTAAGGTATGAAGATGCAAAAGCCTAAGAATGATATAATTGACTCTGGAGACTCAGGGGAAAGGTAGGGTGTCACAAAGGATAACAGACTACACATTGGGTACAGTGTACAGTGTACACTGCTCAGGTGGTGAGTGCACCAAAATCTCAGAAATCACCACAAAACAACTTATCTGTGTAACCAAATACCACCTGTTCCCCAAAAACCTATTGAAATTAAAAAAACAAAAACAAAAACAAAAACAAAATTAGCCATCACACCAAAATGAGCAGAGGGATGATTATCCCAGGCAAAAGGAACTGCAAGCACAAAAAGCCCTGAAACAGGAGCAATGTTGATTACAAGAGCAGATAGGCAGCCGGCTTCACTGGAACATAGTATGAGGAGAGTTTTGCAAGATACATTTGAAGAGACAGACAGAGGCTAAATGATGCAGGCCATGGTAAGGAGTTTGGATTTTATTCTGTGGGTGCTGGAAATCCATTGAGAGTTTCAAGTGGAGAGTGATATGATCTGATTTACATTTTTTTTTAATTTTTCTATATTTAAAACAGGATCTTGCTCTATCGCCCAGGCTGGAATACGGTGGTTCATTGATGGCCCACTGCAGCCTCGAACTCCTGGGCTCTAGCAGTCCTTCCACTTGGACTCCCAAGTAGCTGAGGCCACAGGTGCACACCACCATGCCTGGCTAATTTATTTTATTTTTATTTTTTGTAGAGACAGGGTCTCACTATGTTGCCCAGGCTGGTTTCAAACTCCCAGTCTCAAGCTATCCTCCCACCTCAGTCTCTCAAAGTGCTGGGATTATAGACGTGAGTCAGTACACCAGACCTCATGTAGATTTTGACACATCACCCAGCCACTCTGTGTAGTTGGTCTCGTGAGGGGCAAATGTGAAAGCAGAGTGATAAATTACACAGCTATTGCACTCAACTAGCTAAGAGACAATGTGGCTTAAACTAGGATAGGGGCATTGACAGTATATTTTTAAATATGTAAAAGGACCCAGATATACATGTTCTTCTCCCTTCCCCTTTGACTCAATTATTCCTACAACTTTAGTCGCTTACACACTTCCATTGGTAGAAGTGAACACAAATCTCTGCTGAATTAACTGTCTACTGTGTTAAATCAGTTATATGGGCTTAATGTGTACTTTAGATGAAATTATTATACTAGTTCAAATTATTCATCAGTTTAGTTTTTATACTTAATAACCACATTAAGGGCCGGGCGCTGTGGCTCACGCCTGTAATCCTAGCACTTTGAGATGCCGAGGTGGGTGGATCACCTGAGGTCAGGAGTTCAAGACCAGCCTGGCCATCATGGTGAAACCCCATCTTAAAAAAAAGAAAAAATAAATAACCACATTAAACACAGTCATACTCTATCAATGAACCTGGAGAAAATTAGACGGAAAGTAAAAAACTTTTCATCTAAGAGAAAGGAAGGAAAGAAGGAGGGAGGAAGGGAAGAGGAATGATTTTTTTTTTTTATATCAGACTTAGAGTTAAAAGACTCCTAAAATAAGAAGTCATAAAAACTGTACAGGTCACAGCCCTGCCAGCAACTTGTTGTGTGACCATGGGTAAATCACTTGATATGGCCCAGATCTTTACTTTCTTTAGTAAAGAGGTCAATTAAACTAATTGTTCTAGAATGTCTCTTCTGTTCTCCAAATTATTATTCTAGGAACCACTGTATGTTTTAGGAATGTTATCCACCTTATAAAATTCAATCTCTGGAGATAGGAGATAAATTATGAATCCTTATTTTCAGATCAGAAACGTGGGGGTAAATAAAGGCAAAACTATTTTTCAAGATCCCGCAAGCAGTTGATAGTATGGTTTGTTTTATAATGAAAAATCTTATGACAGATATCCAGATATGAAACTTTCCCTATTCCTTTCAGCCCCCAAAAGTGTTTTCAAAATTGGATCCAACAAGGAAAAAAATATATACCTCAATTCTCTTACATAATCTGCCTTTTGCTTGGCAACTTGAGATGATTTTGACTATCTATAATCAGTGCATAACAAGTCATCCAGATAAGCTAATAAGATATAAGGTCTTATATTGAGTCCTAACAAGTGCTAACCACCTTATTTTTTTATAGCTGTACGATTCTGTGACCGGTGCCATCTGATCAAGCCAGACCGCTGCCACCACTGCTCTGTCTGTGCCATGTAAGTCATGGCCATATTTCCCCTGAGCTGAGCTTAGCTACTGATGGTTGCCTAGACAACAAAATGACTGATCCTAGCATGTAACCATACCTAGATAAGAGCATTTCCTTTTAATCATAATGAGCATATGCCAAAACCCCTCACACGGATGACGATGATTCAAGCTACTCTAAAGATAAGTACAAGAAGTAAGACCACATTTTTAATATAAACATTTTATTTGAGAACAGTTTTAGACTTACAGATTTATTGTGAAGATAGTTCTTATATGTCTCATACCCAGTTTCCCTTATTGTTAACATCTTATGTTTGTATGGTACATTTGTTGCAATTAATGAACTAATGCTGATAACATTATTTTTAACTGAAGTCTACATTTAAATTTCCTCAGTTTTTCCAAAATGTCCTTTATGTGTTCCAGTATCCCATCCAGGATACCACATTGCATTTAATAGTCATGTCTCGTCTCCTTAGCTTCTCTTAGCTGTGGCAGTTTCTCAGACTTTACTTGTTTTTGATAACCTTGACAGTTTTTAGGTTTAATGGTCAGGTAGTTTGTAGAGTGTCCCTTGATTGAGATTTGTTTGATGTTTTCCTCATCATTGTTAGACTGGGGTAATATGATTTGGGGAGGAAGACCATAGAGTAAGGTGTCATTCTCATTGCATCATATTAAGGGTACCTATAAACATGACTTATCACAGAAATGTTAATTATGATCATCTGGCTGAGGTCATTTGTCAAGTTTCACCACTGTAAAGTTATTCTTCCTTTCTGTACTATACTCTGAAAGGAAGCCACTATGCACAGCCAACATTAAAGGAATGGGAATTTATGCCCTCCATCCTTGAAGGTGGAGTAGCTACACAAATTATTTCAAGTTATTTTGCTTGGGACATTTATTTCATCTCTTCATTTATTTATTCAATCATTTTTTATATCAGTATGAAAGCATGAATATTCATTTTATATTTTGTGTTATAACTCAATACCACTTTATTTATTTTGTTGCCCAAATTGTTCCAGCATTGTAAACCCCATTTTTATGTTGATACATGTAATCTTCATGCCTTTCCTCTTGAGTGCTTATTCCACCCATAGTTCTCTTAACTTTGATTCAGATAGAGGCTATGTCTTTTCTTATATGTTTTCTTCTGTATTTTTATTAAACTAAGTATTGAACAAAATGATAGGAGACATCTTGAACCTTTTCTCTGTATTAATAATCTGAAGTTCTCAATCCCTTTGAAAGGTTGGACTTATAGGCATGTAGCATGCTGCTGACATGATCCCATAAAGTGTTGTGATTGCCTCATCCTAGGGACAACTGAGGGCCATAGTTTTGGAATTACTATAGTGGAAATCTGAGAATGGGTGTACTGGAACCATGTAAAAATACTGGTGAAACTTTGAGTTTAATTATGAGGTGTTGCTTCATTTCCATAGCCTCACTTATCACATTGTATTTTGTCCCCTTTGTAGGTGTGTGTTAAAAATGGATCATCACTGCCCCTGGTATGTCTGTTTGATTCATTTCTCTCTGATAAAAGGGTCAAAGTTGCTCAATTCTATGCACTTTTCTAAGCATAGTTGTCACATGCCTGTTTCTACCACCATAATTCACTGGGTTTTATATTTCTGTAGGGGAAAGGGGAGGGGTAACATTTTAAAGCAAGAATAAATATAAAACCAAAGGTATAGTAGTGAATGCCTGGAGTTACAAAGCTAATGGTCTCCTATTCATTAACTTTAGCAATTGAGCCTAGTAACTAAATAAAGCACAAATATTTCTCCTTTTGACATTTCACAATTCAATTCTGTTTCTAGATGCCTTGATGTTTGAAATATTCTAGAATGTTAAATTCAGCAATTTTCCAAATTTTGTATATCAGACTCAGAGAGCCAGTCTGAAATCACCTAACTACAAAAAAAAACATGCCACAACTGTACCAAGTGTAGCTGCTAAAACTATAATACATTTTTAGCAACCAGGATCAGTTTTGCTTGGATGTGTCAGGAACGAGTCCAGAGCTATTAGGTAGGCCAGGTGTTACTGTGTCTGTAAATGAAAGAAGAAACAAGTGAGACATGAACTTGTTTTTTCCAGTCTGTTCTTAATAAGGGACTTCTATCTCTATTGGGCTTTTACAAGACATATAATGAAGCAGCAGAACTAGCATGATTCCATTGCTTAGTTCATTTATGTATCAGTATACTCTCAATCAAGAGTTGTGGATTTCAAATTAGTTTTTCTTTTTTTTAGGGTTAATAACTGCATTGGATTTTCCAACTACAAATTCTTCCTTCAATTCTTAGCTTACTCTGTTCTCTACTGCCTGTACATTGCTACAACAGTCTTCAGCTATTTCATCAAATACTGGAGAGTAAGTTAAAAATATCCTGAAGGGTTCCCCCAGAACAAATGCACACTCACTCCAATTTGTGACATTGTTCACCCTCTATCTTTTTACATTTTTCAATAGCTTATACTGTTGAAGTAACCAGAAGATAAGGCACTAAAAACAGGTTTTCTATATTGAATACTCTGAGATTTAGGAAGCTGTTATTTAAAGATTCTAGTTAAGTTTCTGTTACACGTGCGAATCTTGCTAAGGCCTTGAGGAACCTAATCTCTTGACTCCTACTGATTCTTTACAGTGTATTTCTCCAACTGAGTTTTAAAGATCCACTTTTTACCAGTTACAGATTTGAAAAATGTAGAAACTAATTTTAAATCCCTAGTTTCCTAAGAAAAAGACTAACAGATCACTCCCCTCTTGTTAGAAAATACTTCCTAATTCCCTATTCAAAGGAGAGTTACAGAATTCCTACTGTTCAGAAAGATATATTGACTTACCTTCACATATGAACAAAATGAAATGGGGAGGGTTTTTCTGTTTTGTTTTGTTTTTTAACTTTGTGTGACAAACACTAGGTTAGCAATTAGAAAAATTGAGATCTGATACTGGATCTGTTACCTGCTTCACTGGCTCATTGCCAATATCAAATGAAACAGATGTTGAAAGTGCTTTACCTTTCAAAATGTGATTCTAATAATTATAATGAAATCTCAAAAAAGTATTTTCATCTACTTGAAGATATCAATCATAACCAACTACTTCCTAAAAAGAAAAACAAACTTAAAGCAGATTTTTTAAATTTACTTATGGATACAAGGCCCGGCAGAAGTATAGTGAAAAATGTTCTAAATTTCATACTAGTAGACCCCCAGAGATATCTCTTCCCCACAGCTCCACCACAATTACTAAGACATCCATGATAAAGGCTGTCCAAAGTGAACCTGAATATCAAAAGACAGATGTGGACAGAGCTACTAGTTACTTAGGAATTGCACAAAAGCCTGTATAACAGGAATATCTCACCTCGAATGGAAACATAAAGCTCTAGAGAAAGAACACGAATTCAGTGACCAGAATATAGATTATAATAAACTGAAGAAAAAAGAAAACGAAGGCAATAGGAACCTAAATAGCCAAGAATATTTAAATTATTAATTAGTGCATTGATCTCTAGCAATATAGAAAAGATATTGTAGAAAATTATAGTGATGTGTGCTTTCCATTTCCCCTTCAACTTGCTTAATTAGTTCAGATATTCAATAACTTTAAGAATAAGGAATTATATAATAGATATAATAATCACTAACTCAGGGACTCTACAAAAGTTTATGCAGAAATAAAACTTTTTCATAAATTTTCTACAAATATAAAACGCTTCATCATCTCTTCCTTTGTTCCGTTCAACAGCACATGATTATTATAAAATCCACATACTGAGCTACTACCCTGAATGTGAAGAAAATCTGCTCTGTCCTATCAGCAGGGAAAGTGTCAGCCTTGGTCTTCACTACAGACCTTTTTTGGTGCTTAACACAGTAGGCTATTGTTCAGGAACCACCTTTTACCATCGTAACAAAATAAACAATAATGCATTTCACACATTTTGCCTTTAGCCCACTTAGCCAATAATCAAATGTCACAATGCCAGCCAGGTGTTATATGCTTTTTTCATTTTGGAAAGATAATATTTGGATATGAATTATCTTCAGAAATGTGCCAGTATTCACAAGTAATACCAAGAGTGAACATAATCTTGTTCTCTTTCTATTCCCTCATTTTTTTCCCACAATAGACTACCTCATGCCTGACAGATGAGAGGCAAGACAATCTGTCCTGGCTTGTCCTAAAATGAAAAGGGCATTGGCAGTTCAGAGAAATGTTCCTTTGCAGTCTCTTTAGCCAGGTAACACTTCAGTGTAGTTTAGGGATGGCTTTCTCAGTTTAAATTGAATCTCCCCTTAAAATAAAAAGTAAACACTGCCATGTACAGGTATTGATCGACTTACGACCTATGCAACTTATGACCATTCGACTTTACGACCACAATCGCTAGCCACGACTGCTCCGCGTCTGGCAGCGCAAACGTTGCCCAGCTGGGCGTACAACAGTGCGGACCAGCTTCTGGCAGCACTACCATCTCCGCGTGCACCATTTCAACTGTACATATAGCCTACTCAACTTACGACCAAATCGTGTTATGACCGGTCTGCCAGTCCCAATCGTGGTCATAAGTCGAGCACTAGCTGTATTTTGAAATCCATGTATCAAGGAAACAAGCTGTGCTCCTAACAATAGCAACCTTCATTTGTATAGTACTTTACAGTTTTTAAAGTACTTTCATACTCCTTATCTCATCTTATCCTTACCACAACCCTGTGAAGTAGGCAAAGCATTAATTATTAGTCTCATTCAAAGATGATAAAAACTGAGGCTTATAGTAGTTAAGTGACTTGCCTATGATTACCCAGCTTGTAAATTTCAAAGTTAGGACTTTGACCTAAATCTGACCCTAAGCCCAGTGATCTTACACACTGTACCATGTCCTAGTGCCCATTATGGCTCTGCTTTAGAGAAGCTCTAGCTCCATGGGAATAAAGAATTCAGAAAACCATCTGATTATTTCTCTCTTCTCAATATTAAACAATAGCTACTTTGATAAGAGATTGAGCTTTGCCTTATGCAAAAAAAGTACTAATACATACCTCCTATATTGAGCCATGAATCTCCTCACAGAGTTATTAATTATTTTAGAAACAAGATAATAACATTATTCAGCCAGTATTCATCTGATCTGTCTCTGATGGCTATTGCTTTGAGTGATTTAGCTTGGCTATCTCCCGAGAAGGTGTTCTTAAACATAGGGCCATCACCCTCTTCTAACAAAAGAAAAAAGTTTCAGAATAACTCTTATCAAGGGACAACATAGTAGATATGCTTTGGCAGGCAGAAAAATGTTCTTTAAGAGTAATTGAGTTGGGGTGAGGGAACAGACTTCAGCTCAGCCACACAGACTGTGGATTGACTTTATATCAGTCCCTCTTGTCCAGCCATTTTCTACTATCCATATATATGTGAAAAAAATAAGAAGTGAGCTTTAAAATATTTTTAAAACATTCTTTAAAAACTAAAGATTGTGAAAGCAAAAACACAGACAAGGCAAAGCCAACTGCAAAGCAATATATAGAGTCTTTTCTATAAGTTCAAAGTAAAAGAAAACCCCCCAATCAAGTTCAATTTGGGTGCTTAGGCCAAGAATTTATAGAGGGATCATTTCAAAAAGGAGAGTTTCAGATAAATATTCCTGAAGATTGACGTTCTTGAGGTAGCTCTTTCCTGAGCTGCTCTGTGCCTATGCAATTTTCACCTGGACCCCCACTCAGCTGACAGCATCTGACTGACTGAAGATAAGGGGAAGCATCCTTATCTTCATCCTTCAGTATACAACCTGGAAGATTCCCAATAGTTCCATACATAAAAATGAATAAAAATATTCTCTTGAGAAGAAAAAAATCTGTACTATCTGGACTTGCCAAGTATTGCCAAGCCTTAACTTTCTCTTTCCAAATTGGAGTAGAACTAGATCATTCGGAAGTTAAGGTCCACTTCACTTAAGAATCATATTTTTTATTACTAGAGAGCAATTAGAAATATTTCAAAGTGATTCATCACACTGAAACAATAATCATCACAGGGAATAAGGAAATAAATAATAGTCATTCCCCCAACTGTTCACTCCAAAATTGAAAATGTTTTCTAAGATTCTCTTCAGAAGATAAATGTTACATGCTGCACATGATACAGAACTTTATAACATTCATTCTGGTCTAGGCTGCATGTAGGAAAAATGGCTGGTGCCACATGGAAAATAAGATGTCCTAGATAACTATAAAAATCTGTAGCTACCTACTTTTACATTTGCCTGTAAAAATTCTGCTTGATTTTTACTGTCTAGACAGCTGTTTCACAGGATGTAATACACCAGCACATTCTACCTCAGCTTTAAAAAACAACCACACAAAACTTACAACAGCTTTAAAATCAGGTTATGACTTATGAGTAGGACATTTTAAAATTCTACCTATATGTTTTAACTTCTTACATACATCACTGTGACATTTTTAACACACATATGTCCAAGGAAACATGATATATAAAGAATTCCAGAATAACTTACACTGAGGCAAGAGGATAAGGCATATGACTTCAAGATCTCAAACTAAATGGAGTACAAGCTGTAAGAGGTTGCATGCCAATTATGGCTTGAGTATACCCTTTTTACATTACCCTTTTATAACTGGTACCTAATATACTCTATTTAACACTGAACTGCACTGAAGCAAGGATCCATTTTAGGCTTTGTAGGCTGAGAGCATACTCACAGATATCATGATTAATCTAAAGAACCATATTATAAAAATTTTACAGAATCTATTTTTAAAATTACAGCTAGACATTTTATACATATGAAAAACTGCTAACCTATATATTTTTTAAAAAACTAGCCATGCTTTTCCACTTTAATCTTTTGTTTATTATTTCTTTTCTAGGGGGAATTACCCAGTGTTCGCTCTAAGTTCCATGTCCTTTTTCTCCTCTTTGTGGCCTGCATGTTTTTTGTCAGCCTTGTGATTCTCTTTGGTTACCATTGTTGGCTTGTCAGCAGAAACAAAACCACCTTAGGTAAGACTTAGCATTAAGATTAGGAAAAAACATATTAATGTGTTTCAGATTGACCTGTGGATTGTTCCCAAATATAACTTCCAGTGAAGGATTTTAGCTGCAATAACATCCCTCTACCCCCAAACTGAGACAGATGAAAATACATTTTACCAAACTAGAAAGGCATAGTGAATGAAGCTTATAGGCTAATTATGATAATATTTTTTAATGAAACCCCACACAGAAACAAAATTGCCCATTGTATTTTATAGTGTATACCGGGTAATAGCTACCAAGGTTTATAGCTCAGAAGATTTCTAAAAGCTGTTCACATAAAAAAAAATTAAAGAAAGAATCAGTACAGAAGAGAATGTCAGAATTTATTATGCACATCTAAAAACAGAGCCCTGACAAAAAATCCAAACCAACCACAACAAGAATCCAGGTCTTGAGAAACAAACAAATCGGTGAATATCTGCAATCATCAAGGGGTTCTTAGGTACTGTGGGAATGAGATAAATATATTGAACAAATGATTTTCTAGAAAATTAGTGAAATAAATGAACATATTTTCTATCACTTACTCTATAGGCTATTACTTGGAAAACTATACTTCTGATGGATTCCAGTACATTTTATTTCATCGATGGTGAAATAAATATTTACATTGTGTACAAATCAGTACATGAGGAGTGAGGATAAAATATACAAGTTTTGAGTGTTGAATGTTTAGTTAGGATGGATTTGAGAAAAGTTTAGTGCATAAGCTACTACACATTGGGAATTTATTTGCTAATGATGCTAACAGCTAAGAAAGTATTTGCATCTATTGACCATGCATGGTGGCTCACTCCTGTAATCCCAGAACTTTAGGAGGCCAAGGCAGGAGAGTCATTTGAGCTGAGGAGCTTGAAACCAGCTTGAGAACATAGCAAGACTACATCTCTACAAAGAAAAATTAAAATAATCAGCTGGGTGACATTTCACAATAGCAAAGCCATGGAATCAACCTAAACGTCCATCAATGGCAAACTAGATAAAGAAAATGTGGTGCATATACAACATAGAATACTATGCAGCCATAAAAAAGAACGAGATCCTGTTTTTTGTAGCAACACAAATGAAGCTTGAAGCCATTATCCTAAGTGAACTAACTCAAGAACAGAAAATCAAATACTACATGATCTCACTTACAAGTGGGAGCTAAAGACTGAGTACACATGGACACAAAGAATGGAACAACAGACACTGGGACCTACTTAAGGGAGGGAAGAGTATGGGAGGAGGGAGGGGTTCAGAAAAAAAATACACTTGGATTCTATGCTTAGTACCTGGGTGACAAAACAATGTGTACACCAAACTCCCAAGTCACAAATTTACCTTTAAAAGAAACTTGCAGATGTACCCTGACCCTAAAATAATAGTTAAAATATTTAAAAATAATAATCATTAGCTAGGCGTGGTGGCACATGCCTGTGGCTGCAGCTCCTCAGTAAGGTAAGATGGGAAGATTGATTGACCCTGGGGGGTTCTGTTTAAGGCTGCAGTGAGCTAAGATTGTGCTACTGCACTCCAGCCTGGGTGACAGAACAAGACCCTATATCTGTTTTTTAAAAATAAAGTATCTGTACCCATTTTCTCAACCAAATACATATGTAGCCCCTAGTTGCTATGGCGGTAGATTAGCACATTTGGCTTAGAGAACAGCTACAAAGTGGAAAACCACTAAAAGCTTTGTGATAACAGAATCTGAAAACAAAGAACAAATGAGAAACAGTCAGATGCAGCTAGAGTCCAACAGTGAAAGCATTTGCTTAATGGGATTACTGTGTGTCTAAAAATAATGTGCACTAACACGATCCCATTCTTTATAGTCTTTGAAGTGATTACGGCTCACCAATTGATATTTTATCTGAAGTAAAACTCAGTTTCTTACATTGCAGGCTTCAGCATCAACACTTTCATTTTTGAAATGTTGCAAAACCAAATCAATGTCATTACCAACTCTTTATGTGTCATTACTTTCTTCCCAGCTCTAAAGATGGAGGCCATTTTGCTACTGTTGCCACTTAGATTCTAATAAAGTGCTGTTAAATCTGCTCCAATACTCTAAATTCAGCAGTACAAAATACATACTACCCCCATGGCTGCTTAATTATTTCTACCACCATGTATTTCCTCTGTCTTTTACAAAGAGAGTACTAATTCTTTGTATGCAATAACAAGCTTAGTTTGTGATAAGTGATTAAGCTGGTTTTTACTAAGTAATTTAGCAGTAACTAAAAATGAGGGGTCTGTGGTACCACAGCAAAAAAGATATCATAGAACCAAGACACATAAATGGAGAATTGTAAAATCATGACTATGCCGAAATTTGTTTCTTCATCGTTTTCTTCCTCCTTTCCTCAACTCTCCTGCCCTGCCTTAGAGGCCTTCTGCACTCCAGTGTTTACAAATGGCCCAGAGAAAAATGGGTTCAACCTTGGCTTCATCAAGAATATCCAGCAGGTGTTTGGAGATAAGAAGAAATTCTGGCTAATACCTATTGGGTCCAGGTGAGTAAATATTACCAGTGGAAGAAGTTAGTGCTAGACCATGCCTTAAAGTGGCAAATTCAATTTTGATTGCAGTTTGCAGCAGGTATCAGCCCAATGTGAAACTCTATTCCTCAAATTATTCATTTCTAGGTTAGTAAAGACAAATAAAGAGGTGAGGATATGATAAAATAGATATTCTCATGCTTTCTTTGTGGCAATGTACAGCGGCACTACCAATCTTTTATAACTGAATTTGGTAATACCTATCAAAAAACATAAGAATCTACATGTCCAACATCTCAATAATTATATTTCTGGGAATTGAATCTATCCTAAAGACAGAAACAAACTATGCACAAAAATGTTCATCATAGCATTATTTATAGCCAATAATTAGGAAACAACCTAAATATACAATAATATGGGAATGGATAAATAAATGTGTGTGTGTGTGTGTGTGTGTGTGTATGTGTGTATATATTTATATATATATATATATATATATATATATATATGCGTGTGTGTGTGTGTGTGTCTACTGGGTGGAATATTATATAATCAAAAGTAATGGTTATAAAGCCTATTTAACAAAAAGGGAAAATGCTTACTATATTTTAAATGCAAATGAAAAATCCAATATGCTGTGATTAAAAACATAAATATATATAGAAGAAAAACAGCAGAAGATAAATATACCAAAAAGTTAGAAATTATTTATCTTTTCTCCATTTTTCATATTTTGTCATTAATGCTAATATTATTTTATGAATAAAAAATATAAAAAGCAAGAACAAAGATTAATTTAGAGGTTGTAGGTAATTCTTAGGACTGCAACAAGAATTCAGAGAAAGCAGTGGATGAGAAATAAACAGTCAAGCTTGTATTCTTTGAAGGACTTTGTTAACCAAATTGAACCACCATCAACTAAACTAACTCTGGAGCAGAGCTTGTTTACTGCCTTCTTGCAGCCCCCTTTTGGTCCCCTCCTTAGACAGGGATACATTTATGTTCACTTAGTTGAGGAAACTTTGTTGTGGGTAGGGTGGCAATTAAGGAAAAATTTCTCCTCCCCTTCATTGATTGCCTTGATACTTCCTGTATATCAGTATTTTGCAAGCTCGTTTATTTCAGAGATGTGGTGTATCCTACTATTCAGTTTATAAATCACAAGGCAAAACTATGTCAGTGGGCAATATTGATTAATAACTGTTACCAGATATTACCTACACTCTATTCACATACTCACATACACAAATATGCACACATCATCACCATGTCAAAGGGAGGTGTAAAATGAGTCTTCTCTGGAATAAAAAACAAAATCAAAAATCAAAGCCCATTCACTTATAATCAGTATACTTACATTCTCTTTAAAGTACTATCAATAAAATCTGTCAACTTTCAATTAACCACATACATGAACAGGAGAAAAGGCAACATCAAAAGTCATCCATACTTAAATTTGGAATGCATTCACATACCTAAACTGAACTGTTCAAACTGTAACCTAGGGCCAGGGCCAGCTCAGTTCCCTCCAATACACCCCATCCATTAGCGGCCAGAAATTAACCAGGGAGTTGACCCTAACTTACCATAGGTAGCCACAAAGCAGGACCCCACAGGTGCATAATTGCCCCCAAAATCTGCACTCTAGAGATATGGCTCAATCTGACTCTTTTACCTAGTTTCTAATAACCTTTCTGCCATGCAAATCAAATAAATAACAGTGCATTCAGGCATTGTCTTTCACCAATTCACACCAGCTTATCTCCACTGTATTCAATGTTTCAGAGACGGGTCATCTTTCTTGAAAACTTGGAATCAAAGCAATAAAATAATGGGATATAAATTGGTATCATCATCACTAAGTGATATGTATGAAGTTTGCTGTGTGTGCATATTACCATACAGGGCATTTTGGGAAGCAAATTAAAGAGTTGCTTACAAACAAGACGTTAACGATGCAGACACACAAATAATATATGGAAACCGAGAGCAATGCAGCAACTAAATGATGCTATTGTAAGAGCCCATTCCACTATGGCCTTAGACATTAAGACTAAATATGCCTAAGAAACCCCCTCTTGTTTTTAAGAGGATTATAACCTTTGCAAAATTCTATGTCAGTTGCAATAAGTCACTGCCTTTCTTTTCCAACTAGCCCTGGTGATGGACACTCCTTCCCTATGAGGTCTAGGAATGAGTCACAGGACCCATTGCTAGCAAATGAAGAACACTGGGAAGACAATGAGGATGACAACCGAGGTAAGTAAGGTCAAAGACTATGAAGTCCACATTAATACAATCAATGTAATGTGGTGAGTAAATAGGGTCCAGAAAGACTTTATAAGCATGTCAACCTCAAGTGTCCTATGGATAGAGGAGAGTAAGTATGGCCAGGTTTATTTAGTAACCATGGGTAGTTTAAATAAGATTAGATGGCAGCTTGGGAGGTCCTTACCAGATATGTGATTCCATGATTTATATCACCAGTCAGATATAAACCTGGATATATATGGATTTCTAAACAATCCTGATGCATAGTCAGTTGTACTGCTTTGCTTGAAAGTGGAGTTCAATTTAATCAATGGGTAACAATTCACCTCTCTCCATCCTCCTTCATTCACACTGATTAAATTTTTTTAAATCATATACTCACTCTCTTTTCAGTATAGTTTAAATACACTAAAAACTAAAAGATAGTAATGGGGGTAAGCCTACACATGAATGTAGTCTACTTTTCTAAAAGGAAGAGGGACAAAGGAAAGCAAATTTCAACTTTCTCCCACCAGGTCACTGGGTCATCCTAAGGTATTTTGTAAAGAGCTAAAAGTTGAGTTCTCATGTAATATATCCCCATTGCCAGCCCTATGCCTTGTCTCCACCTGTTGCTGTGCCTACTTCTGTGCCTCCAACATTTACTTATGTTGCTAATACCAGCCATTAGAGAGTAGTTTGGGGCTACTGTTCCCAATAATGCAGTAGATGGCAGCAATTTTGCATAGGAACTTGTAGTAGCTATCAAAAACTGTACCTGGGGTGAAGGAGGCTAAATGAGTACGTGGAAAAGCACTGAAGTTGGAGCAGCGGTGGAGAGCAAGCCTTTCTAATTTTTTATCTAGTTCGATTACCTAGGCCCTGATTACCTGGAAATCTAGTTTTAGAGAAAAGCATGTTACTAGAGCCAAGGAATACAAAACAGTCACAAATCCATAGATAAAAAGAAAACAGTTCTTGCTCACCCCAAATAACTTACAATACAAGCAACTCCCTTACTTTCTCCTGCTGACTATTGGAAAATTCACTATATTTTGACCTATCTTCCTTCAGTCTTCAATCTTTCTGAACCGACTTTTACTTACAGCAGTCACAAGTGATAACAACCCTTATTTTGGTATTAAATCCAAACTCTAATATAAGCCAAAGACTTAACAGATCTTTACTTGGTTTAAAATAATTCACAGTGGAAAAAACTATTCATATCTGAGCTTTGTGTACTCAAGTGGAATACTTAAAATGTAGATATAGCACCACATCATAAAGAGGTTATTTTTGGAAGCAGTCTTCAATTCCAGACCTTTTCAAAAATATTCAATTATTAAAAACTAGTATGTTATTTTATAGTTTGTAATATGCTTTCCTATACTTTTTCTTCATATACTTTGAGCCTCACAACTTTCAGGTTAGATAGGCAGTGTTATTAATAACATCCCCATTTTATAATTGAAGAAACTAAAATTCAGAGATGTTAAGCAAACCAACCTCACATATCAAGATATCTTGATTCCAAATCCTGGGTTTTTTCCACTACAATGCTATGTCTCTCCTTTGGACAAGTACATATGAGACAGTGCTGTGATTGCATGCCATTTTGTTATCTGAAGCATTCAACTGCTTTTTACTTAATCATAAAATCACAGACTGTAAGGTGCCTTTAGCTTTAGCAAGACGACTATGCCATTGTAGATAGCTGAGGGGTTTTGTTTTTTTTTTTAAGTTCATTGAAGGAGATTCCACAATCCTCCCTTGTAACACATTTTAGTATCTAATGCAAGTTCTCATGCTGTTTTGTCAGGTTGATTCTATATTATCTTCAGTTGCTCCCATTTTCTGTGCATAACAGTCATGTACAAACATTTCTTACACTTTTAACAACTTAGATTCCTAGGAAAGGTGCTGTAAGTTGAAATTACATGTGCATGTTGAACTTAATTTCTTTTAGGAAACAAGTCGAATTTTTATTCCTAGCCCAAAATATGACATTTCATTTACTATAAATGTACTTGTACATCCAGGCACAGTGGCTCACGCCTGTAATCCCAGCACTTTGGGAGGCTGAGGTGAATGTATCACCTCAGGTCAGGAGTTCAAGACCACCCTGGCTAATATGACAAAACCCTGTCTCTACGAAAAAAATACAAAAAAAAAAATAGAGGGGTGTGGTGACACATACCTGTAATCCCAGCTACTTGGGAGGATGAGGCAGGAGAATTGCTTGAACCCAGGAGGTGGAGGTTGCAGTGAGCTGAGATCACACCACTGCACTGCAGCCTGGGCAACAGAGCAAGACTCCATCTCAAAAGAAAAAAAAATGTACTTGTACATTGCATAATGTAAAACGAACATTCTAAAGTGTATATAAAATTGTAAAATACGCTAACAATAACCTGTTAGGTACAAATATAATATCACAGGAACTACATAAAGCCTTCATGTTCTTTGAAATCCCTGCCTTATATTAACACAGCCAATTATAAGATTTAAAAAACACCTTTATGAAATTAAGGGATTTAAATAGGCTTCTATTATGTCGTTTTTGAAAATTAAAAGGGTTAATGCACAAATATATAGAAAATGCATAAATCCCCAGTGTATAGATCCATGTAGTCTTCTGAGGAGAGTTAACAGGCATTTTTTTTTATAGACTTTTGAGAAACTTGGGGCTAAATTTTAGCTTTTTGAGGAAATGATCCGGAGATGTCTGTTGTTACCACTTTTGCTCATTATAAATTTTCCTGTAGCTTATATAATAAAAATTAAAGATTACAATATAACTCTTTCTGCTCTATTGAAATTGGGATCCATTTCCTTCAAATTGAATGGTTGGCATCTATGGCTCTACCTGTCATAAGTATCATGAATAGTAAGTTGGGTATGATTGTCAGGATGATTCTTAAATGAAAACTGCTGTGGGTCAGAGCCTGCCTATATGTGAAACCCATAAAGAATTTCTTCAGCTTTCTCAGGGTGAAGAGGGTAGGAGTAATCCTAGTTCCTTAATATTTCTTGTACAGCTGACTTCTCAGTTTTTTACATCTTTATGGCTCTGGTGCTGTTTTGAATGTTCTGTTCTTTTTTTTTTTTTTTTTGAGATGGAGTCTCACTCTGTTGCCCAGGCTGGCGTACAGTGGTGCGATCTCAGCTCACTGCAACCTCTGCCTCCCAGGTACAAATGATTCCCCTGCTTCAGCCTTCCAACTAGCTGGGACTACAGGTGCATGCCATCATGCCCGGCTTATTTTTGTATTTTTAGTAGAGTCAGAGTTTCACCATGCTAGCCAGGCTGGTCTCAAACTCCTGTTTCTTTATTGTTTCAGTAGTAGCAAAGCCTCTGCCATTTTCCAAGTATCACTCCTTTCAAATGAGTTGCTGAACTCTTTGATTGTGGTCTTTTATTTGAGATGCATTATCCCTAGGAATCTGCAGGAGATAGTCACAGTTAATATTCTCTATGCAGTAAAGTCAACAGAGACATTGACAAAGACTCCAGAAGCAGAATCATGGTTTTTTCCATTTGCAAAGGAATAACTCTAGTTCTTAAATATGTATACTTTTTTATTTGTTTTCTTTCATTGTAAAAATTAAAGATTTACAACATGATGTTTCAAAATACAAATATATAGTGAAATGATTACAAGTAAGCAATTTATCAAATACATCATCTCACATAGTTACCTTTTTTGTGTGATAAGAGTACTTAAAATCTACTCTCTTAGAAAATCTCCAGTATACAATATAATATTACTAAATATAGGCCCCATGCTGTACTTTAAATCTCTATATTTGTTCATCTTACATAACTACTTCCTTGGACACTTTGGCCTGCATTTCTCCTGCCCTGCCTGCCTCTGGTAACAACTGTTGTATTCTCTGGCTCTCTCTTTGTCTTAGACGCCACACATAAGAGAGATCATGCAGTATTTTTCTTTCTCTGTCTTGCTTATACCACTTAATATTATCCTCCAAGGTTCATCCATGTTGTTGTAAATGGCAGGATCGCCTTCTTTTTTAAAACCAAATAATAATCAATTGTATATCTATCCCAAAATTTATTTATACATTCATCCATCCACAGGGACTTCAGTTGTTTCCATAGCTTAGTTACAGTGAATAATGCTGCGGTAAACACGGGAGTGCAGATATCTCTATGAGGTACTGAATTTATTTTATTGGATGTATACACAGAAGGGGGATTGCCAGATCATATAATAGTTTTATTTTTCAGCTTTTGAAAAACCTTCATACTGTTTTCCATAATGGCAATACCACTTCAAATCCCCTTAACAATGGATAAGGATTCCCTTTCTTCCACATCCTCACCAACATTAGTTAACTTCTGACTTTTTGAGAATAACCATCCTCACTGGTGGAAGGTGATATCTCATGGTGGTTTTGATCTGCATTTCCATAAAGATGAGTGATGCTGAGCATCCTTTCGCACACCTGTTGGCCATTTGAATGTCTTCTTTTGAGAAATGT